CTTTTTTAGCTTTGAAAGGGAAGCAACTACCAATTACTTTAGGTAGCTTTGAGAATGTGAGATGACAGCACTTTCATTTGATAGAAACTGCTAGATGTAAGACTTTAGAATAAGTTCTAGGAAATCAAGGAAGCTTTATTTTTTAGTTGCAAAAGTTTTGCGAAATCTCTCGAATTAGCCGAGCCACAGAACTCCATATGGTCAACGTCAATTTAGGTTCTTGCGTGTTTTGTCTACGTTCTCGAAGGGCTTTCTCTGCTTGGATTTTTGATCACTGGTCCACCTTTATATCTGAGTAAGAGTTATCAGAAACTCTAAATGCAGAGCAACAAATGAGTGTTTCAGTTGCTTTTGGAGGTGCAATAATTCTTGCCGGTTTCGGATTCTTTGTGCTTATCAGCAAAGCAGGCGAGAATCTCATGGAAGAAGTTGAGGTTTGTGCAAAGATACTATTGAAATGAGTGCTTGAGTGACACGTTTCAAAACTTCATTTTTATGAAAGTTAAAGGCACCGTCTACCCAAATTCTTGACTTCCATGTTTTGGTCGCCTCTAGGTCTTCTGAAGACGCTGAGTCCGAATATGGAGTCGAGAACTCGCGAAACCCTCAAAAAACCCGTTTTGGGGAACCCGGGGAACAGTTGCACGTGCAAGCGCAGGGCTGCGGTGCTGTTATACGCCGTGGTCCTGCAATCCTGCAGGCATGCAGGATTGCAAAATGGGCGGAGCGACCAGCTGAGGTAGAGTGACCAGCTGCGGATGCATTGCTTCTAGAGCGGATTTCTCGCTCCAGAAACTATCTTTTGCGGTGCGATTGGGGGTTTTCCTAATGTGCATGCCATCATAATCTCGTCAACCCCCATTTTGGGTAGACGGTGCCTTCAAATAAAAGCAAATCAGGAAGGGATTTTAGAAAGCACAGATTGCTAAAAAAAGCTGCACTTTCGTGACTGTTCTCTTATACCCTCGCAAAAAATAATGAATGATTTTGAAAATGATTTTTAAAACTGTGAAACCATTTATTCATGTTTTCAGATGAAGCTGCACAAATTGAAGCCATCGGCTTAGTCTGAATATTCTGATATCTATATACTCCCACTTGTTTATGTTGTATATAAGGTTGAGAATTTTTTATATTTTTTGTACATTTACGTATCAATTGTATGCATGGGTTTCAGTCCACTACATACACATCGTCGGCCAAATTTGTACATTTTTATAGGTAACCGGACTACTGTTGAATCCTCTCCTATAATATAAACCCGATGCGAAAAAAC